GAAAACCAACAGACGCTTAGCGAGTGTGTTTGGAAATTTCGGCTCTGGAAAACGGAGCAGGAAAAATAAACTCGCGGCTCGGAGGGGACAAAAAAAGTGGAGATGCCGGGGATTGAACCCGGGGCCTCATACATGCAAAGCATGCGCTCTACCACTGAGCTACATCCCCTGGCTGGGCAGAGCGCTGCGCACAGCGGATAGAGCCGCGGCAGCTGCGCCGGGCCGCCGCCGCGCCCTCATGGAGCGGGGCAGAACGGCGGGCGCTGTGCCCGTCCTCGTTAGTATAGTGGTGAGTATCCCCGCCTGTCACGCGGGAGACCGGGGTTCGATTCCCCGACGGGGAGAGCGATCAATTTTGTCGCCAGGTGTCATTTTTTGGGCGGCCCCGCGCAGGGTTTGTCTGTGACGCTGCCGTGGAACCCCCGCCCGAGGGGCGGGACAAAGCCGGCTGAGCCGCGTTTTGTGTCAGCCACGCAGCCCGGGCTGCGTGCGGAACACCCGCCGCTGCCGGGAGCTGGGGTGGAAATGCCTGCGGGAAGGAAGGTGCGAACGAACCCCCGGGCACCGCAGGAACCGGGCGGCGGAACCCGCGCGGGACGGCGGCAGCGGCGCCCGGGGGCGCGGGGCGGGGTCGTATCCGCTGCCAGCGAGGGCGTTCTCGTCCGCCGAAATAGCTCAGTTGGGAGAGCGTTAGACTGAAGATCTAAAGGTCCCTGGTTCGATCCCGGGTTTCGGCAGAGCGCTTTTTGGGTTTGTTTTGTATTTTTTTTTTGCTCCTTGCCGTCAAGACGGTTCCTTCTGCCGCCGAGCGGAGGGGCCGGGGCTGCTGTCCCCGCGTCGGGCGGCTGAGCCGGGGCCATCGCAGCCGCTCCCGCGTGTGGGACTCTTGTGTCAGGAGCCGCTTCTCGACGAGCGCCGGAGATGGAGCGCGTCCCGCGGCCGCCGCCCGGGCATGACCTGCCCCTCGGGGAGGCGTCTTCCAGCCGTCCTCGTTAGTATAGTGGTGAGTATCCCCGCCTGTCACGCGGGAGACCGGGGTTCGATTCCCCGACGGGGAGGTTGACTGCATATTTTTCTTCCCTTTGGTTTATTTCTTTGCTTTCCGCACGGATTTCTCTGATTTCCGACGGAGCAAAACCATGCAGGTTTCCGTGTGCGAGCCAGCCCGTTCCTGCCTTTTTGAGGGCTACCTGAGGATCGCACCGGGTCCGTACGCAGGAGCCCCCACAGCGCTCCCGGGCCTGGCGGGCCCTCGGTGCGGAGCTGGCCGGCGGGCAGGGGATGCGGTGCGGGCACGGGGATGTAGCTCAGCGGTAGAGCGCATGCTTTGCATGTATGAGGTCCCGGGTTCAATCCCCGGCATCTCCACGCGGGTGCTGCTCATTTTTTTTTCGCTTTTTGGTGATGTTTTATCTGGCAGAAGTCACTGCGTCCCGCTAAGCAGCAGCAAACTGACTGTGCGGCCGGATTGGGCCCACAGTGGCACTTCCCAGCGGCATAAAGTGTTGTTTTTTGGGGTTTTTTTCCCAATTGGTTCTCCTCAGGCTTGTGCGAACACACACAGCTCTTGTGTCCCATCTGTGCACTAAGGGATGCAGGAGGCACGAAGAGAAGGGCAAAGCAGCAAACCCCGAAATGCAGGGGGACAGTGGCCACTCATCCCAGGCTGACACCGCCAGACCCCACACCCCTGCAGCCGCACAGAGCGCAGGGGCTCTGTCGCCCTGATTCTTAAGATTTTCTAAAGCCTTCTGAGTTTATATTCTGTTAGAAAACTTTCCCACACATTTTCTATAAACAACATATTTTTTTGCATTCCTTCGTCGGGGTGGAGGAAGTTGATGTACTGGTGGTTTGTCCAATGTCATTGGAGCGGTGGCCCATTCGCTCTCCAATCCACTGTCACCTTTGGAAAAGTATAAAGGTTGGAGTCAGAAAAGAAACCTTCTTCTTTTTTACCTTGCCATCGCAGTTGTTGTGTTTTCTCGTGTCCTACAGCGACAGGGCTCTGCTGCACATCCCTGGAGCCAGAGGGGCAGGACAGAGGTCAGGACATCACTGCCGGCTGCGACACCCGGGGAGCTTCTCCTGGCTTGGTGGTGCCCACCCTCTCCGCTGTCCTGGCAGCGTGAGCAGGTTGGGAAGAGCTCTCAGGGAAACCACGGCCCTGCTCTGCTCTCCTCGGGGTGGCTGGGGAAATTCCGTGTGGCTGGAAGGCCGGGAATTAGGGCACAGCTGTGGGGTTTGGTCCAGAGGTTTGACCAAAGCCCACGCAGAGCCTGCATGAGGCAGCTTCCACCCACCCAGCTCGGGGGCAGCTCTTGTGTCTCGCTGCCTGGTTACCGACAGCAGCAGGAGCTACCCCTGACAAATGGAAAGGGACATGTCCTGCCACGGTGGCTGGCAAGCTCCTTGTGCTCATCTTACTTCCAAGTTGTTATTTTGAGCCAATCTTTGGCCACAGTGAAGATCCCGTTTGTAAATTACTCCCTGGATCTCCCTGGCAGCTGTATTTTTGGACTGTGCCCTGCACGTGAATGTAAGAGATAGTTTGCAGTGACAGGCGTGGAGTAAGAGACTTTTTGTCACAAAACACTTCCCCGTGTTCCTTTTTTATGATTTCTGACCAGTCCTAAGTAAAAGAACAAGCTTTACAGTATTATTCGCTTTCTGCTGAGGAAAGGCCTAAACCTAGAAGGCTTCTCCAATTTTTGATGTTTATACACTCCCAAAGCACACAGTGTCAGGCACTGAGCAGTAACCAAAAGACTTCTGTGGCATTTTTTTTTCCATCTAAATGACCTGAGTGTTTGACATTATTATCAGTACAGCTGTGGTGAGTGTTGATACTAACACTGTCGCTATTGGACATGAAATGAGTACACAGAAGCTTGGTAAATTCAAAAGAGAAAAAGATCCAGTTTTATTCGAACATCTGGTATTGATAGAATTCCAAAGATGACCGTGGATTGGAGGATGGAATTACCACCACATTACAACCACACTGGTCCAAAGATCAATCAATCATTTCTCTCCACCCACAGAGGAATATGTAAACTATTCTATTTCTACATGAAATTGTGTGGGAATTCTGACTCTCTAAACATTATCAGAAGGCTAAAGAAGTTTTATGAGAATTTTAAATCTTTCAAAAGAACTATAAAAGAAAACTCTTTTAAAAATCAGGGCAGCAAAACGCAAAGGAGTAGAGGCCAAAGATCTCCCCAGAGCATTCCCCTCCATGTGTCAGGCACACGCAGGCACTTTTCCTCAAACCACAAAGCTGTTGCTGCACCTCTGCTCCTTTCCTGCTGGTGAGCACCCCTGGGTGCTCTCGGTGTCCCTTCCATTTTCCACGGGAGCCGCCAAGTTGTTCTGGATAAAATATTACACATAACAAAGTGAAGGGTTTTGCAGGCGAACCGAACCGAACGGCAGTGCCTGAATCTTGCAGACAAAACTCCAGCTGTTCCCAGCTGCTGCCTGGAGCTGCTGCGCAGTGCGAGCAGGATGGTGCAGGAGCCAGCAGAGGTCCATCAGGAGGTGCCCTTTGACAACAGAATAAGAAATAGGCATTATTATTTCTGATTTTACCCTGAGTTACAAACTCCATTACAGCTCAGATGCATACTCCACTTTATGTGCACACATACTCATTGATTATCTCTCGGGCACACCATCTGCAGGAAAATATCTATCAGTCTTTCTTTGTCCCTCACATCCCCCGTGAAAAATGCATCTTTTATGATTGGCTTTTCACAAATGTTACAATGAATATTATATGTGTAATGTTAGAAAGTTATGCGGTATTAATTCTCTTAAGTAGTATGTTAAATATAGTTTCAGGTTCCAACATAATGTTAAAATAGAAACTCTGCTATGTGAAGGGGATTTTTTTAAGGAATGAAATACTCGCTTTGAGGAATACCGAAATCCTCTAGAGAAGAGAAATTTACAGTTTTCTTATAAAAAAAGCTAATTTCTTCAGGCCTTGCTCAGACTCGAAAACGCCATGGGGATTAAAGGAAACAGTTGACATACAACAGAGTTGCTTGTTTTAAATAGAATGTATGCATAACCATGGTGGATATATGAATATGCAGCAGGCTATTGTTTTTAAGGTTATTCCTTTGTTGACGAGGTAGGCTATTCATGACTTAGTGTATGAGAACATCCAGACATCCGTAATTCTTCACTTTTTATTGTCTTGCAATTGTCCTAACTCTAAATTGCATTACTCCAATTGCATTACTATTTTTACAACCATTTTAGAGTGCGGCCGCGGGCAGAGCGGACCCTCGCCTCGCCCTAGGGCTAGAAGCCAAGCATGTGTGTATCAAGCAGGGGCACAACTGCAGGGTTTAAACCCCTGAACGTAACTAAAGGCTCCGACAGAAACTTTTCCGTGCGGCTGCGTCCCTCCAAGCTGGGGACACCGGGATGGCGCCGCTCCGCCGGCTCCAGGCCGGCTTTTCCCGCCGCCCGCCGTCCCGCGCGCGCGGGAGCCGCAGCGCGGCCGCGCGAGGCGCCGATCCCTCCGCGCCGCCCATCCGCTCTCGCCCGCGCGGGAGAGCGGCGGCGCGCGGCGCGAGGGAAATAGTGCGCGGCGGAGTGATCCGGCCGCGGGGGGCGGAGCGCCGGGAGCCATATAAAAACCGGGCGGGGGGAGGATGCGTGGCGCAGTTGGCGCTGGGTGAGGTTTTGTAGTGGCAGCTTGGCCGAGCGGCGCCGCGGTGAGAGGGCCTAGAGACGGGCTGGGCGTCGGGGCGGGAGCGAGGGCTGTGTGCGCTGGGGCGCTGCGGCGGGGGGCGATGGCGGACAGGGATGGCGGGGGGAGGGCTGGGGCGTTGCCTTGCCCTTCAACGGCAGCGCCGCGAGGCGGTGGCGCGGAGGGGCCGCGGCGGGCGGCCAGTGGCAAAATGGCGGCCGCGCAGGCGCAGCGGTGCTTCAAGATGGAGGTGGGCGCGCGCCTCGCGCGGGAAGGGGAAGTGGGCGGGACCTGCGCTGTGACGTCACGGGCGGCGCGGTACGGGGAAGGGGAGCGGTCACTGAAGCACTAAGGCGGTTTCCTCTTCCAGGGAAAAATGCAGATCTTCGTCAAGACCCTGACTGGCAAGACCATCACCCTTGAGGTTGAGCCCAGTGACACCATCGAGAATGTCAAAGCCAAGATCCAGGACAAGGAAGGCATCCCTCCTGACCAGCAGAGGCTGATCTTTGCTGGCAAGCAGCTGGAAGA